GTTGGCGCCATGTGGTGGCTGGGGGAGGGGCGGGGAGCGGGTTTGTTGCCGTCTCACGCTGTAAAATGGAAGGGGATTTACCTCGCCTGGCCTCGCGTCCCGCGTTTTCCTCATCCTCGTCCTTTTTAACGAAAGAAGTGGATGGAAGGAGTTGTTTTCTGTCGGGGGGGTGGGCTGGTTCAAACTTCGCGGATTGCGTGACCGATTGCCACCGGCGTCGGTGTAAACGCGAACGTGTTTTGTGTAACGCATATAAAGAAAAAAATGATAGATTTGGAAGCTAGTCGAGGTAAACCCAAGTAGTTTTGAAGGGAGTAAATAAAAAACAGCGTGGTGGAGACGATGTGCGTGGTGTTGAAACCAGTAAGAGCGATTTTGGTGTACTACTTAGCAGCATTGTCCGAAAACAGCTCATCTCCTGCAAGCGCTTACTGGAGGAGCTGGTGTAGATTCGCTGTGTTTTGGTAGTGGCGTGCTTGTGTACAAAGGAGTCATTTCTTTCCTATCGTGGTTGGTGTCTTTATATGTGCTTGACTTGAAAATTACCCGCCTGTTTCTCAGGAGGGTCTTTGTTATTCAAGCTACCCAGTGTATTTAATCAGAACTCCCTTTGTTATCCCTGGACCATGAACCAGAGGGTGAGACCCCAAAATCCATGTGAAATGAAAGTTCCAAGAAAAGCAGTATTTAGAGGGATTCATCTATTTAGAAAACTTAGCGCTGTGCTAAAACAAGAGCTGTCCAAGGCAGATTCTGGGTGCTGACATTATTTTGTGAAGAGCTGAAGTATGCTTTTGATTTAGCTGCACTAACACACCGTGGAGGGAAAAAAGAGACTACATGTATGAATGCAGTTGTCCAGTTTGTGTGGCCTCTGATGGCAAAGCCAATACTTGGTTTTAATTTCAAAGACTCTCTCTTAGGTTTTTAAAGAGATGTGGGTATCAGTCATTCCAGTTACAAAACAAAGGATTGTAAATTACAAAGTGTAACATCTAGTGCTGTGGGAGAGGTGAATTTAGCATGTGGCCGTATCTCTGTATACCACAGCCCCAACTGGATAGCATAAAGCAGCTCGAGCTGCCTCCAGACAAATTGCTGTCATCCCCCAACCACTGACTTTCTCTTGATCCTTCTGTGAGTGCAGTCAGTGATGACAGGGTATGCTATGGAAAACCACTGTCGGGCTGTACAGATCACGGCAGTCATGCTTGGTCAGTAAGTTGTTATGATGAGGAATCCATCAAGTTACCTATCTTTCACTTACTACTGAAAGGCTTACTGAACTTCGTAAGGCTCTACACTGATGGCTGCAAGAAGCAAACAGACTGTACTTGGACCCTGTGTATCGTGCTGCACTTGTCAGCTAAGAATGCACAGCTTGATCTTCTGAAAAAATAAGGGTTTAGCCTACAAAGAACATGGTTTCATCCAGTTTAAGGGAAACAAAAATTTTTTTCCTTATCTTGCCTTTTGAACATAACTGGATGCTAGTTCTAGCAAATCAAAGTTACACATAAACAAAAAACACAGATTTTATTTAAACATAGCCTAGTTTCTAAAGTGCTGCTAGTTTCTAGTGCCAAATTTAGGTTGCCTCTAAATAGAGTAATAACAACTTAAACTGCTTTAGTCTATAGTTAGATGAAAACTCAAATGCTTTTAAAACCTGAGTTTGTTACCTTGGAAACTATGAAAATAGAAAATACAACCATGTTATTAATGTTTTCATTTGAAGTGAGGCATTTCAAGAGTGCCTTACTGATGATCCAAGTTTTGTTTGTTAGCTTCACTAGTGTTCAGTTCTTTGAGATGCCTCAGAGGGTATTTTGTGTGGGAAAGTGCTGTACTGGCCCCTCTTGGAAGTAAAGACTGACAGTGGAGATACTCCTGTAGTACTGATGAGGACAGAATTAGATTCAGTAACTAAGCAGGAAGAAGTACACAATACTTGTTAAGGCAGGTCCAAAGTCCCACCTGTTGTATGAGACTGTTGTTGGGAGGTCACAGATACCTGGTTTTAATTTCACAGTTTGTTTTTTTAGGACTAAAATTTTCACAGCCATTTGTCCAAATTCTAAAAGAGCTCAGTATTTTGCTTTTGATGCCTTACTCTATCCTGGATGCTTTCAGAGCAGTAGGAATGATCTTGGGTTCTTTGCAAAAACTGAGTTTAGCAGTACTTGATAATCAATACTGCTTTGTTGCAAATAACAGAATTATGCTGGAAGAATGTAAGTTACTGACAATATTTTGGGCAATTTTTATAGTTTCTTACACCCAGTAATAAACTTCAGGGTGCAGTGTGTTCCCTCAAACAGAGAGTGGGAGGAGAAAATCCACCCCTGTGCCCTCTAGCATCTCTAGCTTTTGGCAAGATGCAAAACTGTTGAACTTTCAAGAGTTGGTCCTGTTTCTGAAAATGCTGCTGAGGTGTGTACCACTGAGCATCTTGCTGCTTGCGCTTTTCTGTAGTATTTCCTGCATCTAAATAGCTCTTCTCTCTTTGAATTTCCAGGAAGATGTTCGTTGGTGGCCTCAGTTGGGATACAAGCAAAAAAGACTTGAAAGATTACTTCACCAAATTTGGTGAGGTAACCGACTGCACGATAAAGATGGACCCTAACACAGGAAGATCCAGAGGCTTTGGATTTATTCTCTTCAAAGAACCTGGGAGTGTTGAAAAGGTGAAATTAAGCTTCATATTATTTCAGATTCTTAACTTGTAGGGGAAAACTTTTTCAGCTTAAGTTAATCTATCAAACTACCTTTCAGGTTCTGGAACAGAAAGAACACAGGCTAGATGGACGACTAATTGACCCCAAGAAGGCCATGGCAATGAAGAAGGATCCAGTGAAGAAAATATTTGTCGGTGGACTAAACCCAGAAGCCACAGAAGAGAAAATCAGGGAATACTTTGGAGAGTTTGGAGAGGTGTGTAATGTTATCTTAGTAAACCCTGAAACATAAAGCCTCCTGTTTAGTTTACTAATAATTTGCAAGTTGTAAAGTAGATCAGTACCAGATGTATCAAGTCTTCTGTAACTGACTCAGAGGTTTCCCATCTGGAGAGCAAGAAAGGCACATACTGCGCTACACAGAATCATAGAATGAATTGTAGAATCCTTTGGGTTGGAAGGGACCTTAAAGGTTCCAGCCCCCCTGCCCTGGTCAGGGGTCTTCCACTAGACCACGTTGCTCCAAGCCTCGTACAGCCTGGCCTTGGACACTTCCAGAGATGGGGCATCCACAGCAGCCTGTGCCTCACTACCCTCTCCGGGAAGAATTTTTCCCTGATAGCCAATCTAAACCTCCTCACTTTCAATTTAAACCTGTTAGCCCATGTCCTGTCACTACAGACCCTGGTAAAAAGTTCTCCAGCTTTCTTGTTACGCCCCCTTCAGGTACTGGAAGGCTGCTTCTATTGGTAGTTAGGTAACCTTCTCTTAAACCATTTTATCTGATGCTAAAATTGTTTTAAGAGTTGCAAAATTAAAACCTGTGATCTGAAAGCCAATGTTAGTACATAAAGGTCATTGTAACATTGATGTTGCATGATAATGCATAGATAGGAAACCTAATTTCAGTTTTACTGTGCCAAATGCTGTGCAATTCACTGTTCTGCTAAAAATGCAAGTCTGAAAACAGTATTTCATGTCTTCAGATTGAAGCCATTGAACTTCCAATGGATCCAAAGACCAACAAAAGGAGGGGGTTTGTGTTCATCACTTTCAAGGAAGAAGATCCGGTGAAGAAGGTTTTGGAGAAGAAATTCCATAACGTCAGTGGAAGCAAGGTAGAAACTTTGACTTGTAAATTTTTGCCCATCTTAAAGTTTAATAGCACTACATCTATAATCTGAAAAGGATTTTCTAGAGCTGTGGTAGCCAAATTACAGTAAGGACAGGTTGCAGTTTACCACAGATACTTTTGGCATAACTCAGTCGCAGAGGCTACCAGGTGCCTTGCCCATACTTGTGGCTTTAATACTTGCTACGTTCTAGATACTGTGTAAAGGATCTAACTGCATTCATTAAATACATGTGGAAAAAGTGGCTTATTTATGTATCAGTCCAGCAGTATAAGCCATTTCAGTAGATACATACACCTATTTGTAGCATAGAGCACTTGCTTATAAACACTAACTTTGTGAGCAGCTGGCTGAAACTGGCTGTCTGACAGGGAGGCAGCTTCTGGTGTCTTAGCTAAGAAGGCCCTCCCCTGCTTCCAAAACGTGTCATGTAAACCCAGTGCGAGGATGCAGGAGGAAATATATGCTTATGGCAACCTGTACCTGGTCAACTGCCGTAACGGTGGTGTGAGATGCTCTGAGCAGCTAACTGCTCATCTCTGGGAACAGCTGCTAGAGCTGTGTTAAGCCAGTGAGAAGAGGCCTGGAGGCCAGTGATGTGTGCTGGCTGGAGGTATCCTTCCCTTGCTCCATGGCCAGTGCTGACCATACGCTAACTCCAGAGCCCTGTCGGATCTGGTCATGCTGCCTGACACTGGCTTAAATTGCACTTAGTTTAAGGCTGCTCTTGACAGCACAGAATAAACTTTGCAAACCATATGCACTGATAGCTGTCAAGACACTAGTTAGCAATGACGTTTGTTTTTGGGAGAGATGAATATTTATGTGCAAGGGGAGCTGAGAAATTGTTCCCTGTGTACCTTGTAACTGTGGTTTGGTTTTGCGTCACAGCAGTAGTAAAAAGAAAGTTACCTTAAAGCTCCTGCGTGAAGAGTTCCAAGCTGGCTTGCTCACGTACTGCTAATGCAGAGAGCTGTTGCTTTCACAGCAGCAGTAGCTCTCATGTCGGACTGGACACAGGTTCGGGAGCTAGAGCTAGGAAGCCAGCTAACTGCCTCAACTGCAGCTTGGGAACCCGTCTTGGACATATCACGGAATATAGTTCAAGTTGGAAGGGGTCTTTGAAGACAATCTAATTCCAGCCCCCCTGCCATGGGCAGGGATACCTTCCACTAGACCAGGTTGCTTAAAGCCCCATTCAACCTGGTCTTGAACACTTCCAGGAGTGGGGCATCTGCAGCTTCCCTGAGCAACCTTTGCCTCACCACCCTCTCCAGGAGGAATTTCTTTCTGATACCTGAATCTACTCTCTTTCAGTTTAAACCTGTTACGCCTTGCCTGTCCCATCACTACAGGCCCTTATAAAACGTCACCCCTCCAGCTCTCTTGTAGCCCCTTCAGGTACTGGAAGGTGCAATAAGGGCTCTCTAGAGTCTTCTCCAGGCTCAGCACGCCCAACTGTCTCAGCCTGTCCCCATAGCAGAGATGCTCCAGCCCTCAGACCATCTTCGTGGCCTTTTCTGGACTTGCTCTAACAGGTCCATGTCCTTATGCTGGGGACCCCAGAGCAGGATGCAGTACTGCAGGTCTCATAAGAGCAGAGGGGAGAATCAGCTCCCTCGACCTGCTGGTCACACTTATTTTGATACAGCCTGGGATATGGTTGGCTTTCTGGACTGGAAGTGCACATTACTGGGTCACGTTGAGCTTCTCATCAACCAACAGCCCCAAGTCCTTCTCAGGGCTGCTCTCAATCCGTTCTCTGCCCAGCCTGTATTTGTGCTTGGGATTGCCCTGACCCACGTGCAGGACAGTGCTCTTGTCCTTGTTGAACTTCATTAGGTCCAATTCTGGTTGGTTTTAGCTTTTCTTAGTATTTGTTAAGTGATGATTTCAAGTGTTGGCAAGTGTATTTCACAGTCCAACACAGCTCCTCAGAGTACATCGGCTGTATGAAGGCTTCCAGGAAAACTCGCTCTGCTGCACTTCTCAAAGCCTTGTTCAGTCAGGTTAGCTGAGGTGAAGTGGTCCAGTAGCAACAGCCTCGTTGCGGAGGTTGTGCCAGGATGGAGGACAGCCTCGTGGCTCCTACAGGAGCGGTGGCTATGCTCAGGTGGCCTCAGCACCTCTTCCATGGAGGAGCTGATAGTAGAGAACAGGCGGTAGTCAGCTAGTCTGAAAGCAGTGGCCTACTTCATGTGGCCAGTAACTAAGCTTTCTCTTCCGTGGGAATGTGGGTGGTAGGGCATAAGGAGTATAAAGCACTCTGAAAGCAGTAGCCTGCTTTGAATGTTCACCAGTGCCTTACCTCTGGCCAGGTGGCACAATAAATGGGATGCTTCTGGATCTGCATTAGGCCTGGTCCCAGCAGAGCACAGCATATGCACCTCCTTTGCCTGCAGAGTAACCTTGGGCCCTCCTAGGTGCTTAGGTTGGGTGCTGCTGCCATAGGACAGTATACATACTCTTCCTTGTTTTTCATTTTCAGTGCGAGATTAAGGTAGCACAGCCAAAAGAAGTGTACCAGCAGCAACAGTTCAGTAGTGGTGGAGGAAGAGGTAGCTATGGAGGAAGAGGCAGAGGCGGAAGAGGCGGCGGTAAGTACCACACACACTACTTAAGTATGGACACATTCTAAATAAGTTGTGTGTACTAAAATGGGATTTTGTGGATGGTTTTCCCTTCTATAGCTCAAAGTCAAAATTGGAATCAAGGTTATGGCAATTACTGGAACCAGGGTTATGGGAATCAAGGATACGGCTATCAGCAAGGTTATGGTGGCTATGGAGGCTATGATTATTCAGGATATGGGTATTATGGATATGGACCAGGCTATGATTACAGTAAGTAAAGAGAACTGTATTGGGTATAAGCAAACGTAACTAATTAGCAGTTTAATGCATTTGTTCTCTTGTTCATAGGTCAAGGCAGTGCAAATTATGGGAAGACACCAAGACGTGGTGGTCATCAGAATAACTACAAGCCATATTGATCAAACTTAATTCAGGTATGCAGTGGCATGGTCTCTTTTGGAAAATGACTGCATAGGTTTTGTATACAATGCTGTAGATGGATATTTCAGTTCTGTACCAAATTTAACTTTACAATAAATTTCTATGGCCTGTTAAATGTGCATCTTACTTGGAAGAGCTCCCTGGAAATGTTTTACATGTTTAATACTTACAGATAACTAGTTGTCTAGACAGTGTGGTGTGTAAATTTCAGCCTTGCTGAAGATATTAATTAATGATTTTATTAATAGGTTAAACTGAAACTGATTTTGAGGGTCTGCTTAAAGCTGCAGCTCTGCATCTAGGGACTGCCTCTTGGAGTTAACTATGGACTCTGCATTACTCCAGTTGTACAGAATGAGATGCCTCTTAGGGAACCAGTGTCACTTTCCACCTTTTTATTTTGTATTGTTTTTGTGTCATACATTTCCTGTAACGGAAGTGTTAATTTTACTGTACTTTTTGGTACCTTTTTGGAATCTAATGTATTGTAAGGTATTTTACATGTGTTCTGATTCACCATGACATGGATATTGAAGCTATCCTAGCTTTTGAAATAAAAAAGGCGTAATCTAGTGTCTTGTGCCATTCTTCAGCTTATGTGTTAGTAAAACGCCAGTATACTGTTCCCAGAACTTAGTTCATGGCAGTACCTTGATAGATGAAGAGTTGTGCTTTAATGTTTTTAATCTAAAACTTAGAAGGCTGGATTGGTAGTGTTCACTTGCAGTTAAGTGGCAGCTAAGAACTGCGGGCACTTCTGCCTGGAGGTTATGGAAGAGAAAGCGGGCGGAAAGCCGGAGCTGCTGTGGAGGTTGAGCTGCTGTGGAGGTTGTGCTGCTGTGCCGGTGGCTCTTGTTCCAGCCAGGCACAGAGGCTCAGTGTAACTCCGTTAGTGTCTGCATTGTAGGGCTCTGCTAGGAGAAGCCAGAGGCATAGGTTTTGGGTAGGGCTTGTGAAAGTCCACGCAGCATGGCAGGAGGAAGCTGAGGTGTGCAAGAAGCTAGCTGCACTTCCTTCGTGTTTCACTGTCTTGAGACTTGGCTACAAGTTCTTGAAAGACCGACTAGGCAGACATTAAATTAACAGTGCAGAATCCGAATTTCTGCGGCCTTTTTATGTATCAAAAAAAAAAGGCTAAAGAACTTCCACTAAAGTTGTGGGAGGAATAACAAAGCTCCCTCTAAAGAGGCAGCTCTTTCTCTAGAGATGAGTGACCAGCTAGAAATTTGCTTTTTTTTTGACTGGTTTACCTCTATTTTAAGGCAATAACTATCATGCGATTTGCCTGTCTTGCTGCAGAACAGTCCCGAGTCAGATTGATAAATAAGCAGTAAGTGCTGCTGCACGAAGTAAACTTCTCATCTTTGCTGCAGTAATAAATTTAGATTTTTACTTCTAAAAGATTTTTAGCTTTTAAAGCTATAATAGGACCTTTTTTTCCTTGCAATAAATTCCATTTGAACAAATAGAAAGCAGAAATGCAATCAAACCAAGTAACTTAGACAAGACATAAACAGATACTAGGAGTGACCTTTCAGTTCTAACAAGGGATGCAGCTATTCCTGCAGGGACTGTAATGTGCTGCTCCCTGCTGGCTGTCCTTGAAAAGGAAAACTTGCTGTGGAGTTAGAAGTCTAAGACCTTTTTCGGGGTGAAGTGGAAATGTTGAGTAGAAAAACAGATGAATCAGATTTTAAATCTGATAGCTGACATGATAGCTTTACAGCTGGAGCGTGTAACCTGTCGCCCAGCGTACTTGCAGATAAAAAGAATGCAGACCACTGAAACAGATGAGTACAGTATTTAAAAGTATTACTGTCTCAAGATTTAAAATTGAAATGCTTTACTCTTGCATACTTGTTCTCTTAGGAAATAGGGGATAGCAGAATATTTTTCTAGGAAACAGTTTGCCTTCGAGCAAGGAATTTGCGTGGTATCAGAACAGTGCTGCTGCAGTACGCCTGGCTAGTGTGTCGCAGGTTGTCAGCTGGCTGTTACCTTGGTGGTGTTTGGAAGTAGGTTCTCAGGTAATGCTTCCTTGACAGATGATGTGGCCTTAAGCAGAAATTGAGGATACTGGTACTTAAATGCAGAGCTGGCTTTCCCTTTCTTTTCCTGACTTTTTGCATGAAAAGTTTGTGATAGAGAGACATGTAATTGCTGGTGAAAGCAAGGACTTGTACACAATGTCGTTGCTTATGGCTGTAATGTACTTCTACCTTAGTGATCCTACCTGGATATTTCTCGAGGACAGACTGTTTTGTAAGAACTGGTTTGGGAGCCATGGCCCCCAGCTGTCTGTTCCTCTTGCATTTGATGTTATGAATTTGGGACTGAAGTGTTTGACTTGATCTGGTCACTGAGACCGTTGTTTGAATATAGTGCTACTAGGGACCTTGTTATGAACTGGCTACTGAAACTGGTCAGCGGAGCCTGGGAAGGACGTGGTGTACTGGCAGCTAGAATGGTGTTTGCGTAGGTAGGAGCAGGTATTAAAAAATGAGAACCCATTGGCTCATCTTAATTTTCGGAAAGTCATAACCTGAAAAAGCATGAATTTAGAAAATGTAGTTTATAGTAGCTACTAGAAATATATTCCTTTATAATCAGGTTTTAGATACGCTGTTTTAAATAAGAGGCAATTCCACAGTTCTGCCAGAGTTAAAACAACTCTTGTAAAATTTATTTCTCCTAAAGCTTTTACTAATAACAAGATTAACTGAAAAGAACACAATCAAAGGTAACTTATCTGGTCTAAGACATGCTAGGATGAAGAGTAAATGTGCATTATTATAGTAGAATGATGTTTCTTAGTAGTAGATCTTGAACATTGTTTGAAACCTATGGAAAGAAAATAATGTTACGGTTTTTGTAAAAGCGTCATTAAAAGGAATCTACTTAACTGCCTCATTTCGCTTACATTACATGTAAGTGTCATACTAGTACTGTACATGGAGGCTTTTTGCATTCTTGGTTTCCTGTAGAAAATAAAGGCATTTTTTTCCTGCTTAGTTTGCAGACAAGGACGTTAAGTCATTAGGCCTCTTAAGTTAAACTGGCACTGTTGAGTGATCTTTCTGTTCTTGAGAATAAGTAGTACAAACAGCTGTATGTCTTTCCATTAACTTGCTAAATAAAATATTAACACATTTTTCTCGTGCCTGCTATACTAATATCGCACTGAACTAACCCCACGTTTCTCCTTAGCTCAGGGCTGTGGCACTGTGAACGCAGGGTGGTGGTTGAGGCCACCGATGATTACATTAGGTATGTTCCTGTCCAGGTACCTAGAGTTTTCTGGGCACTTGGTTAAAAAACACTCGGTTGTCTTCTAGTCAGAGTAGGCTGAGGAAGTACTAAGCGTACCAAAGAGTGTTGCTGTTGAGGTGTTGGCTGGAAACGTATGCTGTCCTCATGAGTGTGTGGCTAGGTGTTCTCTCTGAGCAAGCTGTAGAGGGATGTCAGCAGGTGCTAAGATTTGCAAGGGGTGGAAGACTGGACAGGACTCAGTCGTACTGGTGCTCACAAACTTTTGAGTATAGGGATAAATTGATGCCTGAGCAGGAGCTAAAAGCTGTGAACATGAAATGAGCTATGAAGTGGTTAAAAATGCTCAAGAAAACAGAAGGCACTATTACTGCAAAACAAATGTTAAGTAAGAGGAGCTGTAAAAGTATTGTTTACAGCTCTTCATAAAGCTGTTGGCATAAGTGGATGTTCCCAAACTGTGGCATGTGGAATGTACAGTGCTCCTGCCCTTAAGGGCAGTTCAGGGGAGACTTGCTGAGTAGTTACACAGCTGCAACAACTTCTGTCAGGAGACTGAGCAGCTGGTAAAACTGTGTCTGTCTTGATGTTATCTGCATAGCAAGGGTTAAACCCAGTCGATCTCAGCTTCCCAGACAAGCAGAGCCTGCTCTAGTGGTAGGCATTTCCGGGACCTGTTGGATGTTACTGGAAGTGTCAGACTCTAATAGAGGGTAGCTGTGAATGCCAGATATATGCAAGTCTGGTCTGTGCTTCTAGATTGCCAGAAACTTGTGCAAACTAAGTAAAAACATCTCTAGGAAACTTGATCCTGTGCTATTAACAGTGAGAATGCTTGTGAAGTCAGGTTTAGGAACCTTGGCTTTTAAATAGTAAAGGGTGACTATAAATACCTGCTCAGGTAGAACAAGTGGAAGTTTCCTGCTGGTTCAAATGTTCTTTTTCCATATCTGGAGAGAAAATAAGGAACAATTTAGCCAACTCATGACTTTGAGACAAGTTTTTGGACTAACTTGGCTAATACAGAGTGTGCAGAACTGTACAAAAAGCTGAAGTGACAAATACACACCAATGATGGCTGTCAAGAATTAAATTCGGACAGCTTTTACCAGTCCCCCTTGTTTCAGATAGGTCAACACTTCAACCTCTGCCCACACAAAACTCTCTTAAAAGCCAAACGCATCTGTGGAGTAAATAGTTTTGCTGGAGAACTTTAAAACAATAATTTAGAATTGAAGGCTAAACTTGTATTGACTATGACTAATTTTCTGGTGTGCTCAGCCTCTACCATGTGGCTCTATCTTGGCCCTCTGGAAAAGCAGGCTTAGCACTGGCTTTTAAGGCAGTCCAACCCCTCTCCCAGGCAGTTCTGATCTGTACTACCTGTCAGCAGTTTGTCAATTGTGTCCACAACAAATCTTGCGTCCTCCATACTGAAGCACATTGGAGGCTTAAATTTAAGCACATTTCTTCCTGGTCCATCTGTACTCAGTAGAATATATTCTTCCTTGAGTCTGGAAAGTTTAATAACAAAGAATTACGTTTACCTTTGCACGTAAATCAGAAAAACCTGCGCGCATCAGCACACAGGCTGTCCAGACAGTGCCTTTCTGCACTGACAGGTTTATTTTTCTGCAAGTTGGCTATATTTTAACAACCGCTAAGTATCAAAGTTACTTAGTTATTGTGTGCTTGTCTCACGCATTGAGGAACTATATGCTTGTCCCCTGTACCTTGTTATTAGATACTCTGCTTCTGCTGTGGCTGGGGTCCTTTCTGCTTGATCCTTGATTAAGTCCACTCCAATGAATAGTCCAGAACCCCTTTAAAAAAAAAAAAGTCAGTCTGTGTCAGAGGAAGGAATTGCAAGTGAGCTGAAAAAGGGAGAAGGGTTTTTACAAGACTGAAGTTTTACTGCCTGATGTTTGGTTAGCGACAGGAAAAAGTACTGCAGTTTTAAAGAAACGCAGTGATACAGCACAGGACGTGATGTTAAACATCCTTTCCATGCAGCTCGTTAAGTTTGTTCTTTGTGCACTTGCAGCAGGACAGTGAATTCCTTTAGCAACTGATAAATCAATAAAGCAGTACTGGCCTGGAGTGGCAAAGTATATCAGACTTTTGATAAGCTTGAGTTTATTTTAATCAACAGCAGGCTGTTGTTTTTTGATGAAAACACAGATTTAATTAACTTCTTAAAACCACATCAGTTGAATTGAGTTGTTTGACTGAAACAAAAAGCAGCTGAAAACGTGAATAAGGCACTGATACCTGACATCGCCAATGATGGGATGCTTGATTTTCTGCTCCTTGAGTAGCTTCATCAAGAAGTTTCCTACTTCTGTGGCATGAGCCTGGAGGTGTTCCTTCTCAATCACATCTAACACAGCTAATCCAATCGCACAGGAAACGGGGTTTCCTCCAAACTGAGTTGAGGAAAAGGGAAGAAAGATGCACTCTTGTCACTGAAAGTGTAGCCTCAGTGACAGAATGAACATATACCATCATATCAGACGGAGACAGTAAATCCAAAGTTGTGTACTAGAAACACATGAATAATACAGTAACTGTGTGGGTGGTAAAGATGAGTAAAAATGCTGCATGATTATCCAATTTTAATTCTTAGACTGCTTTAGAGGAGCAGAGTTTGGTCAACTTCTTACTTACTGTATTAAAATACTCTACTCCGGTGGCTGCAAATGCTTCTGCAATGTCTTTTGTTGTTGCTACACAGGCAATTGGGTGCCCATTTCCTATTGGTTTCCCCATAGTGACAATGTCGGGTGTAAAGTCTTCTCCTTGAAGCTGGAATGCCCAAAAGTGCTTGCCAACTCTGCCAAAGCCAACTTGAATTTCATCAGCAATAAATACACCTCCTGCCTTGTGCACGTGCCTGCAACGTAACACATTTTATTGCCTCTTTAAGAGGAAACGGAACATAACGTTTACTGTTTAAGAACATGCAAAAGCATTACGTTGCAAACTTCCAGGAAGCAAAACTCCAAAAGGCCTATATCATGTTTAAAAAACCAAGCCTTTGCCATCTAAAGTTTACAGTCTAATGTGAAGGCACGTGGCCTCTCCTGCCTATCTAGCTATGTGCTACAGCGGGCAGAGAAGTTCTCTGTCCTATATAAGTATGTTAAATTACAAAAGTTAAGGTAATGAATGACCACTTACTCTGCAACCTTCTGAAAATAGCCTGCTGGGGGAATGATTTGACCACCCACGCTGGGCAGAGATTCAACAAAGAAGGCAGCGATCTGAAACACAGGCAGCAGGTCGTGTTTTGAACCCAATACAGCAAGTTGTAGAAGTTGTGTTTACAGTTAGCAAGCTCTTTGGCATTAGATGGTTCTTGCGTGATTTACACAATCTTTGCTTTTTTGACAAGTCCGTAGCGCTTGGCTCAGTAATCCGGAATGACACGGACAGTCAGCCAGGCTCATCGCCGAGGCAAGACGAAAGAAAGCACTTCTTACCTTTCTGCCTCTCTTATGTGCTTGCTCAATAATATTTCTTACGTCGTTAGCATAGGCTGTTACCGAATCTTCATGGTCTTCTCTATAAAGTCCTCTGTATGTGTCTGGAACAGGGGCCTATGCAAAGGAGCAGTACCCCAGAGTCAGTATATCATAAATAAGACCTCATTAATTCTACAAGTAGTTGGTAGTTATAGGCTGAGGTACGTACCACGTGGACCCACTCCTTTTGTCCTTCTAGATTTCTGAACTTATATGGGCTTATGTCAATCAAGGATGTCAGATGTCCGTGGTAAGCACTTAAAAAACAATTAGCAGAACTAAGCAGTAATTTCCTCAGTATCAAGACTTCTTTAGGGTTAGCATTACTGATAGCTAAAGAGGAGCTGGGCTCTGTCACCTGGTGGGAATACAGTCACACCTAAGCTGAGAAAAGCTCTGAGAAGTCTATCAATCAGCTTAGCAGTATTTGGGGTTTTTTGCACATCTGACTAGGGGATTCAGAGGGACAGTGCTCCTTGTCACGGCCAGGGCCAGTGCCTGGAACCACAGCAGTGTGTAGGTCCTAAGACGGCAGAGCAGCTGGGACAGGTCTACTGTCTACTTCTGAATGTCCTCAGAAGTTTGCAGTCTCTCTGGGCAGCCTGTTCTGTTATGTGACCACCTTCAAGACAAACAAGTTCTTCCCTACATCTCATCAGAATTTGTCAGGCTTCAACTCGGGCCCGTTGTCTTCTTTCCTGTTGCCATGCATCTTTAGGCCTGGCTCCATCCTTTTCGGCTCCTTCCCATTCGGCAGTTGTAGTTGCAGTAGGATCTCTGTCTCACAGCTGGACAAATCCTAACCCCGTATGGCTCCTACCCATTGTGGCAGGGCCCTGCTGGCCTCCTCCTGGTGTGTTACCATCTATAGGTACCGGAGAGCCCAGCTGGGGTACGATTCTCTGGGGTGGTCTCGGGAGTACTGAGCAGAGGGAAAAATTACTTTCCTCAACTTGCTAGTTACAGCCTTTCTACTAGAGCAGGTTTTCAGAAATGCTCTGACCACAGACCAGAACAGCCTTGTTACCCCACAGGAGATAAAGTTGCCAGCGTACTTACTGGTCTAGAACTATAACATCTTCGTGCTTTGTGTACTGCCGTGCCAGTCTCAGGGCAAGGTCGTTAGCTTCAGATCTGCAATTGAAAAATTTGATACATGTTTCCGTGTGCATGTCTGAGGTTTGAAATTGCGACCTCCCTTGCAATGCTTTGTGTGTCTGTGGAGAACAGACAGAACTCAGTGCGCGATACTCAGACCCCTTAGTAATCAGCGCTCATTAGGCAAGACTGTTCACCAGAACTGAATGCCTCTTAAAAAGCTGCAGCACAGAGACTACTTTGGGAATAGCGGGGTTTTTCTTTGTTTTGGTTTGGTTTTCAGCTGTGGTTTGCTTGGGAACACCCCAAGCAGAGACAGGCATTGTCACATTTAATTCTGATAGCAGAAGTAATTCCCAGCTCAGAAGACAAGCCAGACCAGAAACCAGTACCGTAAATATTTGCATTAAGGTTTTGTGGTCTAAGGCCCTACAGACAGAATAAACCCCTTCTTAAGTAAAGTGCTGTTTTTTCCCCGATAGAGACCTTGCTAAACAGGAACTTCAGATGTGCTGAAGTTCTAAAAAGAAACAGTTTCCTCAAAACCAAAAACCCCAAACCATGTTTTTTGTCAGTACCCAGCCACCCCCACAGCCCGGGCACTTGGCTGCTGATAATGAAGGATTCCACGTGTCTGCATATAGAAAGCACAGTATCAGTTCTGTACCTCACCTACCCAGAATTCAGAAAATAAAAGACGCACAACTTCTCAGGGAGCGTTTTTGAAAGTCTCTCTGCATAATCCACCAAGTTGTCGTGCAGATAACGAGAGTTTGTATTTAACAGTTGATTTTGTTCATGGGCAGCTCTTACCACGTCAGGGTGGCAGTGTCCAACTGCAAGAGAGCGTAGGGAGCGGTTGGAGAGGACTCCCCGTTACACACGGTGTTCCTAACAAACAGCCTGACTGGGTGCTCACCCGTCTGAGTACAGAGCTGTTGTCAGCGATGCTCGTGTCTCAGTGGTGCATTAACGGTACCGTCGGCAGGAGGCTGGCGGTGTGCCTCCAAAGCTTTCCCTTCAGACTTCCTTTTTGTGCTCAGAAAGCTTTAAATTGCCTCTTACGGTATTTCATAGCACATTGATTTCCAGTGTTCAACTACAAACTAGACCAAATAGTGTCTAACTTAGTACTTGGATAGTTCAGGTAGGCGTTTGGGTGTGGGTGGGTAGGCTTTGCCATCAGAGTTCTAGCCCTGCGAGGGTGTGGGTGACAGCACCGACTGACCAGAGGTTTCGAATACTGTCAGAAACCAGCAGCTACTTTGTAATGCACAAATAAGGCACCACAGGGAGCAGCGGTCCTGCGACTGCCCTTGCAGCGTTGACTTTCACAAACCAAACAAACTGTCATAGAATCATAGAATGGTTAGGGTTGGAAGGGACCTTAAAGATCATCTAGTTCCAAGTTCATTCTAGTTCATGATCTAGCTGTCAAGCCAGCTCTTAGTCTTACAGTGATTTACTTGAGCTTTCATGGAAAAAAAGCTGTAGGTTTAGATGTTTCTAGGAAAACAGAGCAGAAAGCAAGTCTGGAGAGCACATTCACACACAGAAATTCAAGTGTGAGCTGTAATGTCCTGAACTGAGCTCGAGAGGTTTCTTGTCAAATTAAACAATCCCTCCCCCAGAGCAAGACAACGGTGGTAAAAAGCACCGATGGCTCCTTGTTCTGCCTAGAACAAGGTGAGCTTTAACTTACCGTGAGCAACGTTGTTTATGCAGTCAAGGTACCGCCTTCCGTTCTCATCATACATGTACTGGCCTTTTGCCGCTACGATCTTCACTGGATCGTTGGAAAAAAACAGCTTGCAAGAAGAGCTGTGGCAGGTATCAGAAAGCAAAAGAAATCGTAGTGAATTCTAGAAGTTGCCTATTTTGCCCTGCTGGTGCTATTTTCGGTTCAGCCAGTTAAGAGAAGGACTTTCCCCGGTTGGCCAGCACACGCTGCCATCCTGCTTCTGGCCCCTGAAGCAGAGCCCGGGGTGGGGAAGAGAGCAGGCCCCGCGCTCTAAATCAGGTTAGACTTGCAGGGAAGAGCCACGCTCCAGATGGAAACCCCTTCCCTGGGAACACAGGACGCGGATAGGGCTTACCTCTAGAGCTCCATCCAGTCGTAACTGCAGTTCCTTACTGCCTGTGCTGTCCCACTTGCGTTCCTGAAAACCCTCTCTGAGCCCTTCTCTGACCTGGTGATGGTTTTGATGACTTTGTCTAAGGCCCTGATTTTCCAGACAGCACCGTGCGGGTGGTCGTTGGTCTGTGTAGTGCTTCCCCAGCCTTAGCTGGAACCTTAAGTGAGTTGATAAGGCTGAGCCTACTATTAGTCATAATATTCGCGTTGGGCTTGTTTCGC